TATATATATATACCCACTTGGAGCCACTTTGACAATTAAATAAAGTGTGCTGCATTCCATTCAACTTGGAAAGTAGGAATTCCCAACTTCCTACTTGGAGAAGTTGGAAAACATTACTTGGAGTTTGACTTTCAATTTGGAAAGGCAGTTATTATTTACCAAGTTCAGCTTATCAATGGAGAATATTTTCAGTTTTCAAATGTTTTTAAGAAAATGTTTGTTTAATAATGCATAAATTCAATAATTTAAAAAATGTGTTTGCTAGCATTACATTATATGCATTTAGCACTAACTATCTTTAAGAAAAAGAAGGACTTACCAAATATGTCTTGATCTGGAGAATGTTTTGTCCACTCTGTGGAGAAAAGAAATATGGTATTGCTCAAAAACACGGGCATTTTAAAAGTTTGCATATACACTGACACAACTGTAAGCCCTTATAGCCATTACACAAAAAGGGCGCTAATTGATTTCACGCTTTTAACACATTCTGACAATTAGTCTCCACCCAGAGCCTGCTAAATGCTAAAGGCTAATCAATACACCGCTGACAAACTCCTCATGCGCTTTAACACTTGACTTGATGTGATTATGACTCAGTAAATCTATCAGGTTAATGAAGGGTGAGGGCCAATAAGATAATGAAGATCCACTGGAGCACATCATCAATTAATACAAGCAATTGCCATCGCTAAAATCCCTTGAAACATTTCCGCCATCCTCGCTCAGTGTGTAGTATGCTAAACCTTAAACCCCTCATCCTATTATTTTGTGTTTATGCATAATATTTCGTTTGATTTTGATGGAAAACTCAACAGTTAGAATTCAGAGGGCATTTGTGGTTTTGAGACGCTAATGAGAGAAGCAGCTTCTGTAACGGTTCTCTGAAGAGCAGCTGCGGCTTTGTTCTAAGAATATGCTATGACTCTGCTTGGTTTAAAAACAGCTCAGTCCTCAGATATGTACTGAAAAAGACCTTTCTTAAAACTGAATATCAAAATATACAATGCTGAACACAATGGCAGTTTCACATGGAAAAGAAACCCCATTTTCCTTGCTAACATAATTTTGTATCTTGCCAAAAGGAGGTTCTACAAACCCCTCCTGTTTGGTTAAAAACAACATGCATCATGCAGCATGAGTGACTGAGCCAAGTGTTGCACGTGTATTTTGAACAATGATCAATAACCTCGATCAAATCCTTCAACAAAAAACTGAGACTGAAAGTAACTGTTTTACAGCTAGAAGCATCATGATATCTACATCTACTGCCTTTGCTGTAAATGTCAGACCTCCATTGTCAATCATAACACTAGTGTGTCCTCCAACCTTCTGCTGAGCGCGAGGGAAAAGTGTGGCTGTTGTGTCAACAAAATCAGTTAACACTTCAGGTAGAGCATAGAGTAACAAATATTTCCATAACCTCGAGGAGAAGGACAAACAGTGACTTTGATCATTTATTAGCTGCTGGAGCTAACAGTCTTTCAAATATATTTTACATAATAAAGTAGGGCTGTGAATCAATTAAAATGTCATTTTAATTACATTACATGCGTATCATTTAATCAAAGGGAATGTCATGCTTAAATAACTTATTGCAGAAGTGCATGTCAGGAGCATGCAGTTTTGTAATAATTAACTAAATTATATTAATGGAATAGATCCAAGATGTAGAAAAGTTTGTTTCCTCATCAGAAATGTAGCATTACATCACTTGCTCACCAATGGATCCTCTGCAGTGAATGGGTGCCGTCCAAACAGCTGATAAAAATATCACAATAATCCACAAGTAATCCACACCACTCCAGTCCATCAGCTAACGTGTTGTGAAGTGAAAAGCTGTGTGTTTTTAAGAAACAAGTAAGTAAATTTCAAGCAAATTTTCATTTTTGGGTGAACTATTCCTTCAAATCATTAAACAGGGTTTATACACATACATATCCCTGACATTTTCTTCAGAAAATGTAACAAAATTATATAATGTATTGTAAAATATTACAATACTATATTATAAAATATAGGTGCAAAATGCATTGCAAGATTTGTCATATGCAATTGCAATTTTTTTAATAAAAAAAAAAAATCAAACAGTATATGACATAAATAAACCACTCTAAATACCACACGAGTTCAGGAGTAAATATTGGAGCCCAGCCGCTGAATGTGGAAGCAAGGCCTATAAACCACCACACGAGGGACCAGTGTGTTTGTACGAGCTGTCAGTAAACACACTGGATCAAACAGAACCAGTTTCAGATTGCTTATGCAATCCAAAATACAAACCTGTTAGACCTGACGATATGGGTAAATAGCCAAAGAGCAACAGATGTATCACAATACACAATGTCATTAAGGGGGTCTTTTTCCATAATCTGTTATTTCAACACAAAAGTGCTTCAAACTTCACATAAAAAAAGTTTCAGGAAATGGAGACAAGAGGAATGTCACAAATTGCTTCATGACTCATGTTTCCATTGTCTCTTTTTGTCGGAGAAACACATCTGAGCGAACTATGACATCATCTTATATCATCATCAAACCGTCGGCAGTTCAACTGAACCGTTTTAACCGAGTAGACGTAACAACACAGAGTCAAGTGACAAAATGTGCAAGTATAACAGACATGCATATGTGATATCTTATTTCTGTGAATAAAAGAAATTTTAAAATAAAAAAAATGCAGTTAGTAAAATTATTTTTTATGTTTCTAGACAGTTATAGACACCATACATGATGACAAAAGTCAAAACCTCCTTCTGAATTGACACTAAAATTAAATATATA